GGCAATTCAGCTAATCCTCCATCCACAGGTTTGTGTGTCGGGGAATATGCCATCGAGAGAATGAAAGTATGGTCAAAAGAGAAGAAAAAACTACATGTCATACCTGTGAAAAAGAAGTAATTGCTTCAAATCAATTTTTTGAAGACTTGTTTTTATTTGAGTCATATTTATACAGAGAAGGAGAGAGATAAAGAAAGATCTTCAGTTCACTGATGCACTTTCCAAGTGTCCACAGAAGCTAAGACCTTCCTGGGTCTCCCACATGGGTGCAGTGTCCCAAGGATCAGGGCCATCTTCCACTGCATTCCCAGGCCACAGGAAGGAATTTGGAAGGGAATGGGAGCAGCTGGGACAGGAAATGATGCCCCTAGGGGATGTCAGTGAATGCAAGGTGAGGATTTTAAGCATTAAGCTACGACACTAAGACCCTGCAGATCATTTTTTTTTAAAGATGCTTGTTTTTATTTGAAAAACAGAATTCCACAAAGAGAGAGATCATGGATCCACTGTCTTATTAGCCAATTAGCTGCAACCGCAGGTGCTGACCTAGGAACTAGGAGTTTCCTCCTGGTCTCCCATGCAGGTGCAGGGTCCCAAGCACTGAAGTCATCCTGCACTGCTTTCCCAGGCCACAAGCAGGGAGCTGGATGGAAGTGGAGCAGCCAAAACTCAAACCTGTGACCGTAGGAAACCTTGGCGCTTGCAAGGGGAGGTGATAACCACTGAGCCATCGCCCTGGACCCTGTGCCCTGGAATTCCAGCAGCGTGAGTATCCCCAGCACATTCCCCATCTCCTGGAAGAAAGCAGGGTCAGGCCCGGCATGATGGCCTAGCAGCTAAAGTTCTCCCCTTGAAAGCGCCGGGATCCATATGGGAGCCAGTTCTAATCCTGCTGGCTCCACATCCTCTCCATCTCCCTGCTTGTGGCCTAGGAAAGCAGTGGAGGATGGCCCATAGCCTTGGAACCCTGCAACTGGGTTGGATATCAGGAGGAATTTCGTGGTTCCTGGCTTTGAATGGGCGTATTACTGGCCGTTGCGGTCACTTGGGGAGTGAATCATCAGACATAAGATCTTCCTCTCTGCCCCTCTCCTCCTCTCTGTATATCTGACCTTGCTATGAAAACAATTCAATCTTAAAAAAGAAAAGAGAAAAAGCAGGTCATCAGGGACACCTTGGGGTCCTGCGCATCTCCCCCAGGCAGCCAGTAGGTAAAACCTCCACAATGGCCTTCCCTAGGTCACTTCCAAGGCAGGAGTCTTGGTGTGGACTGACTGAAGTCTCCCTGTGCCAGCAGGTAGGAGGCCAAGGCGGCGGTACTGGCATCTGGCCTGGACATCCAGAGGACACGGCCCGAGGGAGCAGGAGGCCACAGGGCAGGCTGCATAAGCACCCTGGGCCACCAGCGTTCTTGCGGGCTGGCGGGCATGTACTGATCCGGGTCCAGCCCTGGCTCAGGGTTGCTGGTGCCTGGCATGCATGGTGTGCAGGGACTCCGGGCCCTTGCCCGGGTCGTGTCCACTTGGGGTCTGCATGCCCGGGTCGTGTCCATGCAGGGTTCACACACTCGAGGCATGTCAACAAGGTGACTACGCGCTTAGGTCGTGTCCATGTGAGGTCTGCACTCCTGTGTCATGTCCATGTCCAGCCCACGGCCCAGATTGTGTCCACACATATCTCCCTCTCGCAGTTTGTGTACATGCCTGGCCCACGCTCCCACGCTTGCTCATGCTTGTCCCCTGCACCTGGGTTGCTTGTGTCCATGCAGGGCCCATGCTACCTGTCATGTCCAGGCAGGGTCTTGTGGTCTGTGCCAGGAGCATGGTCAGGGCAGCAGCAGCACCGCGGTCAAGGGATGGCCAGGAGCAGATGGCCGCTCTACCAGGGCTCAGCAGCGGTCAGGAAAAGCAAGCATCCATGGTGACCCGCTGCGTGTGAACCCACTTTCCTACTTGGCAAGTCCTTCCAACATGGCAAGTCCTTTGGAAAGGGAGACCCATAAGCCTAAGCCTAAGGCCTAAGCCCTAACCATGAGCCTAAAATAAGGCCTTAGACCTACAGGTAAGCCAAAGCCTAAGGCCTAATGCCTAACCATAAGACTAAGCCTTAGTCCAAGGCCTAAGGCCTACCTGTAAGCCTAAGACATGCCCACTGCAGCCACTTTGAAACCAGTCAGTGGGCAAAAGCTCTCTCTCCTCCCCTCTCTCTTTCAAATCAGTCAATCAATCAATCCATCTGTTCAAAAACTGATTTACAGGGGTCCAGCTCAGTGGCAATCCAAAATTATGCTCCATCTGCAGGTTTGTATCCCAGCTGCTCTACTTCCTTTCCAGTTCTGTGCTCATGGCCTGAGAAGGCCGAGAAGCATGACTAAAAGCCTTGGACCCTACACCCAGGTCAGAGACCCAGAAGAGGCTCCAGCTCCTGGCTTTGGATGGGCTCATCACTGGCCTTTGAGGCCACTTGAGGAGTAAACCAGTGTATGGAAGATCTCTTGCTCTCTTTTTCTGGAACTCTGTTTTTCACATAAAAATGAGCATTTTAAAAAAAATTGATTTGCAGAGGCCCATTACAGTAGCTTACTGGCTAAAGTCCTCACCTTGAATTCACTGGGATCCCATATGGGCACCAGATCCTGTCCCAGTGGCTGCACCCCTGCTGTTCCAACTCCCAGCTTGTGGCCCAAAGCCTTGGGTCCCCGCACACATTGGGAGACCTGGAGGAAGCTCCTGTCTCCTGGCTTCGGTTGGCTCAGCTCTGGCCATTTTGGACACTTGGGGAGTGAACCAGTGCATGGAAGATCTTTGTCTCTCTCCTTCTCCAGGTAATTATGATTTTCCAATAAAAACAAACACATCTTCAAACAACTTGCTTGCAGCAATTACTTCTTTTTCAGAGGTATGACGTGTATTTCTCCTCTCCATTGCCCATACCTTCATTCTCTCAATGGTGCCTTTCTAGGTTTTACCTTTCACAGACTTATCGGCGCTTTCCTGCATGAGTTGTCCGTGCTTGCATTCTGATTGCAACATTCTGCTGTGTTACTGTCTAGAGTTGACCAGTTCAGGTGTTCGCCTGAGCTGGGAATCCAGTCTACCCTGAATAGACCTGGCTTTTCTCAGAAAGAAAAACAAAATGTTATTTCCATGGCTGAATTACAGACAGAAGGGGAGAAAGCATCTATTTGCTGACTCCCTCCCCAAATGGCTATAGTAGCCTGAGCTGAGATGATCCAAAGCCAGGAAGTAGGAGTTTCCTCCTGGTCTCCCATGCAGGTGCAGGGTCCCAAGCACTGGAGTCATCCTGCACTGCTTTCCCAGGCCACAAGCAGGGAGCTGGGTGGGAAGTGGAGCAGACAGAACTCAAACCTGTGACTGTAGGAGACCTTGGTGCTTGCAACGGGAGGTGATAACCACTGAGCCATCGCCCTGGACCCTGTGCCCTGGAATTCCAGCAGCGTGAGTATCCCCAGCACATTCCCCATCTCCTGGAAGAAAGCAGGGTCAGGCCCGGCATGATGGCCTAGCAGCTAAAGTTCTCCCCTTGAAAGCACCGGGATCCATATGGGAGCCAGTTCTAATCCCGCTGGCTCCACATCCTCTCCATCTCCCTGCTTGTGGCCTAGGAAAGCAGTGGAGGATGGCCCATCCTTGGATAGCCTTGGAACCCTTCACCTTGGTTGGATATCAGGAGGAAATTTGTGGCTCCTGGCTTTGGATGGGCGTATTACTGGCCGTTGCGGTCACTTGGGCAGTGAGTCATCGGACTGTAGAGCTTCCTTTCTTTTCTCCCCTCTGTATATCTGACTTTTGCATGGAAAGAAATCAATCTCTCTTGAGGAGATCTCTTAAGTGTTAGCCTCAGATTCCAGCATTCTTTTGCTCCCTAGTTCCTTGAACCATTGGGGATTCCGACATCCTGCAGGGGAGAGGAGGCTCCCTTCCCTGGGGAGAGCTGCCCACCAGGGCTGAGGGGTCTGTCCCCTCTCGTCCACGAGCTTGCAGCAAGGCATGGAGGTGCACCTGTGGGAGGCTCAGCTATACAAGGAGGAAGGGAACCAATGGTACAAGGAAGGGAAATACCGAGAGGCCATGAGCAGGTACCACTGAGCCCTGCTGCAGCTACGGGGCCTGGACTCGAGTCTGCCCTCCCCGATAGCTGACCTGGGGCCACAGGGCCTGGCTCTCATGCCCGAGCAGGAGAGCGTGCTGTACACCCTTTAGACTGACTGGTACAACATCCTGGCGGGCTGCCTGCTTCAGATGGAGCCAGTGAACTACGAAAGAGTGAGAGAGTACAGTCAGAAGGTGCTGGAACAGCAGCCTGACAATGCCAAGGCCTTGTATCAGGCTGGAGTGGCCTTCTTCCATCTGCAGGAATACAACCAGGCTTGGCACTATCTCCTGGCTGCCATCAGTCAGCAGCCCAAAGATGCCAATGTCTGGCAGTACCTGCAGTTGAGACAGTCAGAGCTCAGCAGCTACCATAGGAAAGAGAAGCAGCTCTACCGGGGCATGTTTGGCTAATGAAGCCCAAAGATGCTCCCATCTCTGAACTGAGATGGACTGCCGAGGTTCATCAGTGGATGGCCGTTCACACCCAGCCATGGAACGCCTGAGCCTACACATGAGAAATGTGCCCTGTACCTCCGACCCAGACGGATTTCTCTTGGGGTTAACAATATGTAATCTATGTCTGGGTTTTGTTTGTTTGATCCATCTGTGCATCTGTTTGTATATTTTCCTTTTGGGAATATTTTCCTTGAGAAAAACAATCAGAAAACATTGATCCACTGTGGCAGAATGAAATTTAGATAAGGTATCCTTTAATGATGGATATTGCTGGATGCATTTCTTTGCAGGGTTCATGCATTGCAGAGGATCAAACAGCAAGGATAAGCAGAAAGAAGTTTCTGTATTTTCTCAAATGCCGAACCCAAACTAGGAAATGTGGCTTTGTTTTAAAAAATCAGATGATTATAAATTGGGCCCAATGTATTAAGACGACAGATTTTATAATTCTTCAACTATAATGCCAAAAAAAAAAAAAAACTGAATCATAGGAACATGTGACATAGAAACAGTACCAAAAGCAAGCAGAACAAAAGCAAATGTGCTTTGTGCCTCTCACCCTGAATTCTGCGAGAGCTGAGTTCCCTACCGAGGAGAGAACAGGGAGGAAGGGCTAGTCCCGCTTGCTGCCTGTGACTCACCCCATGGGACCTTAGGTGCCAAGATGGCCTCGGGTGCCATCAGTGGGGCTGATATGGACCCCCATCAGCTGGACCCTCCTTTGCTGTTTCATCTTGCATCGTGATAATGCGGTAGTAAGCATGTCTTTATTCATCCTGCAACCACAGGAGTGTTCAGCTGAAAAAGAACAAACTACCCCAAGTGCACACAGAAACCCTTAGGCTTTTCTCAATATCCATCTCTTTTCCCAGTAGGCCCAGACTTCCTCCGTTCCTATCCACATCTTTAAACAGCACAACCATCAGCTTACAAAAAGTCTTTCTGCCAAATCTTACAGAGTCCCAAAAACAGAACTGCCAAAAAGGAAATTTCCTACTTGTCTTCCGGGCTTCGTAAATTGCTCAGCTACAGCCTTGTTGGCTCCGTGTTATTGTGTCTTCATGTTTTCTTTGCTTTTGGTTTGTTTTGCTTTTGGATCTTTTATTTCAAAGACATGATGTTACAGTAAGCTATCTTCAGTGAGGAAAAAATTTAAGCATTTTAAAATGCAAAAAAAAAAATGAAAAACAAATTTGTAAGAATAAATAAATGAATAAAAAAATAAATCTTAACAAAAAAAAATTAGGCTTATGTGAATGCCTTTTGGCCTTATTCTTTGGCTGTCAAGTATGTCTTAGGCCTTACACTGAGACTTGGCTTAGACCTACAAGGAGGCCTTGAGCCTTAAGCTTTGACTTCCAGGAAGGCCTTAGACATTAGTCTTAGGCCTAGGTTTAGGCTTACAGGTTTGCCTTTGGATAATTATTTGGTTTTCAAAGAGTTTGAAAAGGTTTCTCTGTAAATACATACTCACACACCATGAATTACTGTAGGAATCAATGCTCGGTTGATTAAATGGGTGATGAACATTCTCCAAAGCTTAATCTCCTAGGGCAAAAAGAGTTGTATATCACCTTTAAACTCACTAAATGATTGGTTGAATGGTGCATATCAACAGGTGCTGTGGCCTACTCAGGGTGCCCCCCAATAAGTCCCACAAACCCTGGTTTTTGTGCATGCCAGCCTCTGCTGCAGCCTTGTCCATCCCAACACACATTCCACCTGGCTCTCATGCACACCCAAGGTGCTGTGGCTTAGTTCACCATCCAGCCCTCATGTATGACAACAGGTTCCACCACCTTGTCCTGCCGGACCCACACCCAGCCCTGGTCTTTGTGCTCACCAGCGGGAGAACAGCCTAGGAGGGCAGTGCTCACATTTCCCCTGCCAGGCTTGTTCCAGCTCTTACTGATGAGTACCACAGTACAGTCTACCATGACTTGCACCCAGTCCAAGCACTTGCCAGCTGGTGCTGTGGCCTAGCCTGGCTAGCCCATTTCCATCCTAGCTGTTAAAGACATCAGGGGTGCTGAGACCTATCCCAGCCTTTCCTGTCTCCAGAGTGGCTGGCCCTCAGGCACAACTCTCACACTCACATGTGGAATTAGCAGCCCTGCAAGGGAGTGCCTAAAATTCCTCTATCAGGACCACTCTCACCCCAGGTCTTGTGTGAGCCAGCAGACGCTGCATCCTAGTCTGAAACATCCAATGCCCAATCTCAGCATTTGCTAACAGGTGTTACAGCCTGGCTCGTTCCTGCCAGCCTCCAGTACCAGCTCTCACGGCACGTGCAGCATAGCCCAGGTTGACCCAAACCCAGCTCTTGGGTCAATTGACATGTGTTGAGGTCCAAGCCAGCCTGGCCTGCACCCTGTCCTGACTCTCACTTGTGTCAGTGTGTTCTCTGGACTGACACTGGCCAGCATGCTCCAAGACACAGCCCACACATGTGTCAACAGATGCTGCAGCCCAGCCTGGTCTGGCCTGTTCACCAGGTCTTGGCTTAAACTTACAGATTGCACACTACCCAGAGCTGCAGTCTAGCAGGGAGTTTCCCAAGTTTCCCTAACAGGTCTTCAAACTTTTTACTTGGAATACTAGCTCAAGGATTTTGTCTTCTTGTGGCTTTTAAGGTAGATGGCTCTTAGGACTCTAACTCCTGCCACAAATGATGTCATTTGTGAGTGGCTGGCAGCATTCTATGACGTCACAGTCACTGAGAGGTGCACCCTCTATGTGGTTAGGCCAAAGTGGCCTGTAGCCTGCTGTCTGCTAACCTACACAAGTATTGGTAGTCGAAGCAGGAGACATAGTTGGAGTGCCAGATGGATTCTCATTTGAGGTGAGTGGGACTTACTCTCTGCCTGTGATGTGGCATGGGGACAGTCACTCCCAGGTCGGTGTCCCTGGGTTCACATTTCTGATGCCCATGGGTGACACCACTGAACCTTCAGGGCTGTCCCTGTGCTCAGAACATGTATACAGCTACTTCACTGCTATACTGTGCTGTGTGGCAGGTGTGAATGTAGATGCAAAGTGTGGGACATGAAATCATGAGCAAGTATTCTGTTCAGCTGTGATGGAGCGGAGGGAAAGGGCAGGGACAGAGGCAAGCCTTATGGAGATGTACCCCCCTCGAGAAGTATATCATCACTGTCCCATGTTGGCACATTCCATGATTGTGTCAGGAGAGTTGTCATCTGTCCCTTATCTGTGGTCAGAAGATAACATGTACAAGTAGGCAACACAGTAATTGCTTAGGTATTTTTTTAACTGATGAGGCACCAGCAATGCCAAAGGCCTCCTAGGTTCCCATCTGGGAAAGCATCCACCAGAGCAATGCTTCCCAGTGAAGCAACAGCGTGAGGGTCAGGGAGCCCTTAACCCTCCAAGATTTCCTGAAATCCAGGACAGATCCTGGAAGAACCCCACCTTCAGGCTCCATCCTATCAGGGGCTTTCACTTTGAAAGCAATCTTGAGCTAGAAACATACCGATTCCCAAATTTTTAGTTCTATGCCAAGCTGAGAAAAGAAAACACCGAGCTTTCCCTGGGACCCTTAGATGGTAGCCCCCTTGGGGACAACTGTGTCACACACGCAGAGGAACATAGGGGGGACCCACATAGAAGTCAGCCAGGGTGGCAGCAGGAAGCCACATAACCCAGGGTGTGCAGGAGGACGCTTCAGGCAGCCAGGCTAGGCCAGAGCCCAGGAGTCTGGGTCCAATGTGCTGGAGTGTCTGGCCTCTGTAGAGTCAATGCTGACCATGATGGTGCCTCTGGTGCTGACAGGGCTGAGCTGTTGCTGACAGTGTCTGCTGCATCCCCCATGGCTGACCATCATGGCAGTGAGCACTTCAGGAACTGCAGGCCTGAGACCTCTCCTGCACACATGTGCTGTACCTGTCCTTGTGCTCAGCACCTGGCCAGTGTCACCTGCTTATGGGTTGAGGACTGGCACTGGGCAGTCACAGCTGTTCATACCTGAGCCCCTACTCAGTGTCCAGGACAAGGTCTTGGTTCCTGCTCTACATAGTCAAGCCAGGCTGGTTTGAGGTCTGGGCGAGCAATGCTCACCTGGCTGCTCCTCTCCCCTCTATCCCAGCAGGAATCCCTTTGTCCAACACCTGAATCACCAGGGAGGAGGAAAAGAAAGTGCTGGAGTTGACAGTGCTGGGGTGGTGCCCTGTGGTTCCCCACATCTGGTCATTGCAACAATAGGCATAGGGTAAGAGGACCTCACCTGGAGCAGAGCCATGTGTGAGCTTCCTTTGCTACCATATACTCAAGAAAAAACGTGCCTTCACAGCTGTTCTGGAATTGAACTGTAGAGGAAGAGGTGAAAGAGGGGCAGGTCTAATGGGACATGGGACCTTTCCAGCAGGTGACAGGAGGCATTGGCAACCTGGTTCCATGGCACATGACCCTCAGCTCTTCCCTCTTCACCTGGCCTTGGAGAAGCCACAGGGCCAATCACTGGTGGTGTTTCATAAAAGTGATACTTAGAACCCTGACCCTCATACCACATGAGCCACTACATGTGAGTGACCAGCAGCATTCTATGACATCACAGTCACTGAGAGGCGCACCCTCTGGGTGGTTAGGCCAAAGTGGCCTGTAGTCTGCTGACTGCCAACCTATACAGGTATTGGTGGTTGAAGCAGGAGACATAGTTGGAGCGCAAAATGGATTCTGATTTGAGGTGAGTGGGACTTACTCTCTGCCTGAGTTGTGGTATTGGGACAGTTACTTCCAGGTAGATGTCCTTGGTCTCCCAATCCTGTGTCCATGGGTGATTCTACTGAGTCCTTGGTGCCCCTATGGGCAGGGTGGGTATACAGCCACCTCAGTCCTACACTGTATTATGCACTGAGTATAAATATGTGTCTGTGTGGGGTCTGAGTGTGACCACAACCACCTATTCTGCTCTACTCTTATCATCAGCTTGGGCTACAGTGGGGTACAGTGGGTCTGGCTTTGAGATTCCTAGGGATGCAGGAAGCCTGAGAGGGGCAGGGTGACTCCTGGCTGTGGATACCCAGCTAGAAGAGGAGTGTCATTCCTAGGAGGCCAGACAGAGGCTGTCCTTGCATCACCACCCCTCTGTCCTGTCCTTTGGGAACTGGCCATCAGTTGCCTTCAGCCTGGCTATGGTGGGTCCTCATCTCTGACCATGTGGACAAATCCTGGGGCACGGAGGGCTGTAGATTCACCTGTGTTGGGTCATACTTGATTGTGTATCTTACAGACATGACTGGGCCATCCTGAAAAATCTGAGGGACAAGGAGCCTACTCAAGTCTTCTGTTGGTATGAAAAGGTACAGGCCAGGTGGCTAGAGGATAGGGGTGAGTCACTGCCTCATTGGCTATGTGCGTAATCACTGATCCTGGCATCCCTGGGGACAGAGAGGGATGGGTCAGCTGTCCCTGATTTTGAGCACCCTTGGCTTCTGACCTGGGTTTCCTCTCTTGATTACAGGGACCCTATCAAAGGCCCTTTTTTATATTGGAGAAGAAAACTACTGTAGTGAAGACCTTGTGCCGGATAGGTTCGGCTTCCTGTGGTGAGTTATTGGCACCCCAGCTCATCTCTGGGTATGGGTGGGTTTCAGAAACTTGAGCAGCTGGAATTGTGGTATGGGGGTCAAGTCACCACCTACAATGCCAGCATCCCACATGGACACTAGTTCATGTCTTATCTACTCTACTTCTGTTCACTTTCTGATGGCCTTGAAAAGCAGTGAAAGATGGCCAAGTACTTAGGACCCTGCACATGCATGGAGATCCGTTTGAAGTTCCTGGCTCCTGGCTGTGTCCTGTCTCAGCCCCATCTATTCTGTTAGCTGTAGAGTGAACCAACAGAAGGAAGATCTCTATCTGTCTGTCTAACTATCTATGTATCTATCTATTTATCTCTCTATCTCTCTATCTCTCTCTCTGTTACTCTTTCAAACAAAAACAAAACTGTAAATTACCCCTATAAGGAAGCACATCTGTACAGCAAGTGCCTGGGTCTCACGGAGCACACCAAAGTCCTGCTGAGACAAGGCCTGAGGGACAGTCGTACTATTGTCTCTGGGCTGTGAACTGCCTGGGGCATCCGAAGTAGAGACCAAGGATCAATTATTGCATTTATGTGAATAAGAGAAGCCAAGTAATATTCCTTTTCTACTCAGTTCAAATATCATCAACATAAAGAACATAAACAGAGTACACGCAGGGTTTAAGAAGCTTGGAAATTCTCACTCTGCCAAGAGAAATGAAGATTCTTCTTGATTGTCTTCCTCCCTCTGATCCCTACAAACACTTTTCTTAGTCCTTAGGGATCAGCATCATCCTCACAAGGTGCATTTGTTTTTGCCCCTTGTGGCTCATTTCCTACAACATCAGCTTCAGTCCACCAACCACAGACACATGACAGCTGAGTTCCTGCATAAAAGGACAGTGACAGAGAACAGGGATTCTTAGAATACTCTAGGGCACACAGATTGCATACTCAACTGTGTTTCATGTTGGGAACTCTCTGCAGTGTGACTTCCAGTGTCTCGGTGTTTCTCTTTGGAGCTGCATTTCACAAAGGTGAACTGGCAGTGGGTTCATGCAGACTTAACACAGCTACAACTTGGAGGGAGCCTGTGATGTCTGGTTTGGGGTGATAATATCAGAGTTCAAAGTGTCAGACCTGAGAGTGTACAGAGAGGCCTCGCTGGTGACTGTGGGACAGGGACTGGTGGGTGGTTTTGTGACTCTGTTAGGACAACTAGGAAACCACTATGCTACAAGGTTGGACACTCATCATAGTTTTCCTAAATCCAGGCTGACCTCACCTTCAGATCACACAATTAATCAAATATTTCTCTACCACAATCTGATGACTGCTGTTTCATCAATTAATATTCAAATTCACATAACATTCTGGTCATTTTAATGGCTTAATAAACACCAAGTCACTGCAATCACTGCTGAATAGCAAATCTTCAACAATCTGTCATGTAACATATATGTGTTCTCAAAATCTTTAAAGAGATACATGTATTCACTATATTGGGGCAGCACAATTAAAAATGTCATTGTGCAACAAAATCCTCTGTACTGTTATTCATGTGTCACTACTCATTGCACTCTTGTATTAGAATTAGAAACAGGATTTTCAGAAATATTAAGAGGAAAAAGGTTCATACACTAATTCTAATTTGTAGGTATATTAAGCTATAGAATGGATTGAAGTGAGCACATCAGAAATTGCACACTCCTGAATCTCATTAGTGGTCTGGAAGCTTGTTGGATTTGCAGAAAATTCAAGCTATGGGTGCTTGAGCACATGACTGGGTACTTAATTAGAAATGGTTTCTTAGTAGATCTGCATAAGTGGAATATTAGAATAGCCTAATCAAGGAGCCTGGAATAGAAAGCAGAATCAGAACTCCAGCTAGGATTTCTAATATGGGTGTGAGCTTCCAAGGGACATTGAACACCACACCAATTACCCGGTCTTCATTGATTGTAGTAAAAGGCAAAAGATTTATAGGATCTGAAGAGAAACCAGAGTATTTCATTGATGTTTAAATGACCTTTTTCTAATGGCTGTTTTTGAGGAGATTAAAACATGTTTGTTTGCCGCAAGAATCTTCATTTTTAAAACGCTGGTTTTTTTTTTTTTATTTGAAAAGAATTGACACAAAGAGAGAAGGAGAGACAGTGAAAGAGATTTACACTCCACTGAATCATGTTCCAAATGGTCGCAAGGGCTGGAGCTGAGCCAGTTTAAATCATGCAGCACTCCCACATGGGTGCATTGGCCCAAGGACTTGAGCTATTCTCTGTGGTTTCTAGGCCATAAATTGGGATCTGGATCAATACCAGTGATCATATGAGATGATGCGGTCACATCCATGTCTGTGTGTGTATAAAATATTTTCTGACATTCTTGCAATTGCCTATTGCTTCTTCTGATGATAAGTCTGAAAGTTTGATACAGTCTCATTAGCATATTTTCCATTTTTTCCAATGACTTTGAGGTCTTGTCCACATCAGATTTCCTATATTGATATCTGAAGTTGTGTTTCCTGTGTTTTCTTCTAATACTTTTATAGTTTCATGTAGGTATGTGCAGGGATCCGGGCCATGTGACACAAGCCTGGCAGCACTCCATACACCTGGGGTTTAAGAACCTGGAACTCACTGTGCAGGTTAATCACCTGACCCATGCCAGGCAACCAGGGCCATGTGTGAAACCCATTCCTAAGACTACCAGACCCAGCAGCTACCATGCCTGCAGGCCCAGCTAGGCACTCCACTCTGGGACACATGGATCTGGTACCCACCTCACCCAGAGTGGCATGGCTTACCACACCTCAGCATTCTAAATGTGAACTGACTGGTATTGCAGCTGAACCAGGACCTAATCAAGACCATCCTGATTCTCAAATCTGTCAGTAGATGTTATTATCTGATCCATTCTAGCCTACCCCTGGACCTAACCCACGTGTGTCTAGTGGGTAATGTAACCCAGCTGTGTATGAAATACTCCTTGCTGTGGTAATTACACTCATCTGAAGGGATGGTGTCCTGATGAAGAAATTCTCCAGACTCCTCTATCAGATCACCCAGCGTCAAATCTTGCAGACACCAGTGGGTCCTTGGTCAGAAAAGCTTTAGTACCTCTTGTGGCAGGGAAAGTGTCCTTGCCCAAATGGTCCAGTCAGTATTCTGATTTGTACTATTGAGCGCTACAGCCCAGTCACACCTGATCCACCCTCAGATACAACTCTCACATGTTACAGTGTGAGCCAAGCCATAGTCCAGTCACTTCTATATTACCTTGCCTAGCTCTCATGAGAACCAGTAGGTGATGAAAACCTGCCCAGTTTGGGGCTCAGCACACCCACTCAACACCCATGCCAAGTGACATCGCAGCCAGATCCAGTCCAGAATGCTGCCTCCATTCTAGCCTTGGCATTCTCCAATGGGAACCCAAACCCAGTCAGTGCTTTCCCTGTTCTCACAACCAGTCCTGTTCCCAGCCACAGATCTTGTGCACTAGCAGATATTGCAGTTCCACAGGGGCAAGTTTCTCCCTGTTGGGAACTGTGATCCAGCCCTGCCAAGTAAGGCCCCAGAGCTAGCTTTCATGTGCACAATGGAGTAGTGCTTGTTGGTCGTGATGTTAACTATACCAGCTGAGGTGTCCTATGTGTGCTGGTGATTCAGTCTGGCCATTAATCGTCCTCTTGTTCCTTCCACCAACCACTTGGTCTCAGCCCCATCCTTTACTTGCAAATACATTGGTCTTCTCAGTGATATTCCTTCTGTAGTCCTTCCACACACAGGTGTTAGCCCTCGCATGCACACCACACCAAACTCCCAGAAATCTGCCAGGTAGCCTACAGGCTTGGCCTGTAACCATGGTACCGTGGCCATCTGGATCAAGGATCCACAGAGCTCCCCTTCTTGAGGATTTGAGCTACCCATGAGCCTCAAAGTGCATGCCGGCTAAGAAATGCCTTGGTGCTCCACGCAAGACTCTTTTGCACTGTCCTTCCTTGGGGTTAATCAGCCTAGCCAGCCTCACTATAGAATCAGCAAAGACTTAAGTTTAAGCCACTTTATATCCACAGGATGAATTTGCCTAATATTCCAGAAGTAAAAAGTGGTAAGGCCATTGACTCATACAAACAGCACAGACTATGCATTTCATATAAACATTAGAGAGTCACATTCCTCTTACTCCACTGATTCCCTTGAATCCAACCCAATAAGCATTCCTTTCTTCCTTATCTTAAAATATGCACATAATTTTGAACCAATTTATTTTCACAAGCCTAAATTGCCCCTAACCATAAAATAGTACAAAAATTTTCTAAGACCAGAGATCACATTTTCAATGATATATACACATAATGTAAAAATAACAGTTCTGATGATGTTTTTTGGTCATTTATATTTCATGCTTTAAAAGTTCCTATGCTGATCTTTACCCATTTGTAATGGATTCTTTGCTGTTGTGTTGTTGAGCTTCTTGAGCTATTCATACATTCTGATATTACTTTTCCATCATTTGCGATGTTTGAAAGAGTTTTGTTCCTTTCACAGTGCAGATGCCAGTGTTTTTTGCTTAGATGCCTGTTCATCTTTCGTCTTTTACAGGAAGTCTTTACCTTTATCTATGTGTTGTGGAGTTTCCAGAGAATTTCCTCAAGTAATTTGATGGTATTTGATTGCAGATTTATAACCTTAGTAAGTTTTGAATTGTTGTAGTTGCAAAAGAAGGCTCTTATTTAACACTTCTTCACACATAAACACAGGTTTCTCAGCATTGTTTATTGATGATATTTT